GCCGCTCCTGGATCCTCCCCTCCCACCCCCTCACGTCTCGCTCTACCTGCCCTCGCCAGGTTCTCCATCAGCCCTACGTACAGCTGCTTCCTCTTCCCCACAAAGTCCTCGATCGTCAAGCTCATCGGGTTCGCGTTGATCTTCAGCTCCAGCACCTTCACCCGCCTCCCCTCTACCTCCCTGTACCGCGGCGTCTTCACCACCTCCAGGTACGACAGCGGCGGATACAACATCTCCCCCTCCCCCGGATACTGAGACACAAACGTCAAGCTCGCCCCCCGGTCGATCGCCCCGCAGCTGATCTCGAACACGATCGACTCTCCCTCCTCCCCGGCGTACTGCATCGCCGTCCTGACGTCTGTCGTCGTGCTCAGCAGCCCGTACTCGACTCCTCCGGACACCCCGAGCTTGTCCTCGTTGAGGAATCTCTCCGGCAGCCTCATCCCCTTCAGCCCCCTCCACACCCGCAGCCCCTCCGGCAGAGGCGTGTGACGAGACAGCTTGACGATGCCGCTGACGATGCAGTGGATGGTTGTCGTGTACTTGTTGGGGACCTTGTTGGAGTCTCGAAGGAGCTCGTTGGGAGCTCGAAGAACAGAGTTGTACTTGAAGTACATCGGCCCTGTCATAGCAAGCCTCTTGTCAGCCTTCTCACGCTCTCTTGCTCTTCTCTCCTCCCCCACGCTCCTTCTCCCTCTCTTGCTATCTCTCTCTCGTACCTGTGTAGAGCTGCAGCGCGATCAGCTCCGCCTCCTGTAGCCCCGCCTTGATTGCCGTGTCCAGCCCCTTCAGCTCCTCCATTCCTCGGATCACCCGCGTCCCGTCCGACAGCCTCCGCCTCCTCTCCGGGTCTGTGACGTTGAGCCACTCCTCCTTGGCTGTCGTCGTGATGTTGTAGTTGCTCGTCGTGAACCCTTCCTCCGCGTCCTTGCCCTTGCAGTGCTCCTCCTCTATCGCCTTCATCAGCTCCGTCTGCTCCTCCTCTATCGCCTTCATCAGCTCCGTCTGAGGTAGCCCGATCCGCTCCATCAGCCCCCCGTAGTACTCCTCGATCTTCCCGTACACGGCCTCGCGTACCTCCGCAAACTTGCTGTTGTGCGACGTCGCACCGTCTCCTCCCGCCCGCCCTCCTGCCTCCGCCGGCCTCCTCAGCGCCTCCTCGAGCCTCCTCCCTATCGCCGTCTGCCATAGAGCCGATAGAGCGCTCTCCGTCATCCCCTGTAGCCCCGCAAGAGGACTCGCCGCGCTCCCGCCGGGGATGCACTCCGCCATGACTCGGAGGATGTTGAGGTCGCCGAGGCTGCTGGCCTTGCGCTCGAGCTCCCACTCTCTTGCGACTCTGACCTCGTAGTCGTCGTACGAGAGCTTGTCAGGGCTGAGGGCCGACGCGTCGACGCCGAGAGCCATGCGGAGGTTGTTGAGAAACGGTTTGTATTCCTTTGAGTCTCGAGGGGTCTGAAAGAGCTTCTTGAGGTCAGAGCTGATGTCGTCGGGGATAGTCCAGCTGGTCGTCTGCTGGGCACTAGCTGGTGGATCAGCCGTGGGATGGCTGATTTGAGCTTTGATCTCGATGTCTGACTTGTTTGACGGCTGAGTCGTAGGGCTGGAGATGCTTGACGGGATGGTCTCTACGCCTCCTTGAGGAGCTGGGGCATCTTTGACAGTCTGCTTTCTCAGCTCGGCCTCCAGCTCTGAGATCCTTCTTGTCGCTTCTTCCAACCTCTGCTTGAGTAGCGAGTCATCACGACCCTCCTCGGGCTTCACTTTGGACGAGAAGCAGGGGAAGCAACTCATGTCCCTTTCTCAGCCCAGGGAGAAACCTGCGTCAGGAGCTTGCATCAGCCGGCTTCAGATATCCTCTGTCCTCCACCACTCTCTCCTTCCCTCGTCTTATGTCTCTCTATCTTGGATCTTCCTCTGTTTGTGGTTCGGTTTACAGCTCAACGATCGGATTACAGAGCAGCTCAGCTTTGTGTTGTACACCTGAGGCTTTCTGTCTATACACTCTGATCCTACTGCCTGCAACTGCAACACCAAGAGCGTATCAGTCGCCTGCTCTTTCAGAGCTTATCAAGTATTCACCTCAACAAATGCCGTCTATTCTTGATGATAAGACCCATGACTCATTCTGACTTCCCCTCTCTTGCTCACTTATCCATGCATGCCTTATTCTCTTTCGAAGTTCTGCCCTGCTTCCGACTCTGCCTCCTTCTCCCCCGCCGTCTCCTTTCTCCCTTTCAATGACTGTTCGTAGAGAGAGAGGAAAAACGACAGCGAGGGAAGAAAAGACAAGGAGAAAGAAAGAAATAAGACGATCAAGAGAGAAAGCTTCACTATCCTTTCTTGACAAAGAAAGAGAGGGACCAAGACCGCCGAAAAAAATTATCAAGCACAGTGAAGGTTTCCTCTCTCCTTGGTATTCGTCATATTTCATCCCTTCCTTCAGCCGTTTCTTTTCCCTCCTCTCTTCTCCTTTCTTCTGTCTGTTGTCACGTCTCCTTCTCTCTGCAGCAGCTACAAGACATCTCTCACACTCTAGCGACAAGACAAGCTTGTCGTCACCCTCCCTCAAGCTCCTTCCATCCTCTCTCCCTCTCTCCTCCCGCTCTCCCCCTTCATCCTCCTGCCATGTTTCCCGCCCAACCACCCCTCTACATGGAGCCCTACCCTAGTCGCATACCACCCTGTATAATCCCATGGTTTTAGCCTATCAGGTACGGGTGAGCGACACCATCCTACCCTACCTGTTGATGTATTTTGCACTGCCCTACCCCACCCCCAGAAGCCCCAGGTTTCCGCTAGTCATCGTAAGGGGTGGACGCGCTAATTGGAGCAACGGATCCGAGGCGGACTGCTGCTAGGCTGATCGGACCGTACGGTAAAAGACAACGTGACTCAGTGACGGTCACCGGGCCCGGGGTACAGTGACTGCGGCTGACTGTGCGGGCCCTGACTCAGCGGCCCTGGATGCCGACGAATGAAATGGAAGCCCAGGATGATCCGAGCGATGGCTCACGGGTGCCGAGTCGAAGCCTTCTCGCTGGGGGCCCGGAGGCTGAGCCTTGAAGCCCAGGATGATCGCTCTTAACGGGCTTGCGACTCGGATGAGCCGCACGGGCCGCGCCGGGCCCTCGATCAAGAGGCTTCTGCTGACCTGACGCCCGGCCTGCGGAAGGCATCAAGGTCAAGACACGCGGCAGCTCTCAGTCTGAGCGAGGCTGCGAGAGCAGAGCTCCAGCTGGAGCACAGCAGCATCAAGCGAGCATCAGTGAGCGCAGAGGCATCAGAGCCTTGACTTGGACTCCAGCTGCCATCAAGCCGCTCAAGCACCACGAGCACTGTAGAGGAGCTTGGAGGCTAGCTTCCTTCTCCTCTCATGCCCCTCCGTCCTCCCGCTCCCTCCCTCCCCTCCCTCCCTCCCTCTCCTCACCGCACACACTCCCCTCCCCTCCTCCTGCTGTTCCTCCTCCTCTCTCCTCCATCGCTCCTGCCGCTGTTGCCTCTGCCCCTCCTCCCCGTCGACCTTGTCCGTCAGAGCTCTGAGAGCGTCAGCTACTCTTCATCCGCGACCTCCGTCACCGCCGATCGCCATGTCAGCTCTCTCCCTCTCCTCGCATCTTTCTCTCCCTCATCAGACCTCCCAGCAGCACCCCAGCACAAGTCCTGGCTACCTCTCCAGCTGCTGGGCACATGCCTCTGTCTCGCTCCTCTTTCTCACACCCTACCTCATGCTTGGATGGGTTGGAACCCCTCGCATGCCCACTATCATATCTTTTGAATGACAGAGAAAGAAAAGGCAAACTGGAGCAAACATGCAAGAGGAGGATAAACCCTACAAATCCGCCTCAACAAGACACCAGGAAACGGAGGAGGCAGCAATAACCGCTAATCCAACCACGCAAGCGACGGCATGCACGGCAAGCAGGGGAACAAGGATCAGGACAAAGAGCAGTAGCGCAAGGCTCCTGTTTAGTTTTGAACTGTCAACCACATGTTCCATCGATGCATTCATGCGGTTGCAATGCTATGCTGATTGGATGCGGATGCGAAGGTTGCGTTGCACTCATATGAGGTTCCAGCATCCGGCATATTGCATTAGAGAGACTGCTGCAATATGCCTGATGCTGTGAATGCAGAACATCAACAACATGAAACGTACAGTATGAAATCTTCCTCACCGACGGCTGCTCATTTCGTGAGCATCGTGTCCTGGGTTTCGCGCCGTGCGTGCAAAATGCAACATGTCCTCGTTGAACACACAACAGGAAAGCTTTCAGGAACACAATCTTGTTGCCCAAGTGATTGTTCAACAATCGGAGGGTGAGCTCATGTGTGCAGGCTGGCATGAATCTATGCTGGCAGGATGATAGTTCATGTTATGTTGTCAACAAGGAAGAGGAGGATAAACCCTACAAACCCGCCTCAATAAAAACACCAGGAAACGGAGGAGGCAGCAAAACCGCTACTCCAACCACGCAAGCGACGTATATAGTAGTAGTATCGGAGGACGTGGCCCTGCCATGGAAGTTTGTGGTTTGAAATATTGTGCAACAATAAAATTGACAAAAAACCAATGGAAAAGTATTGAACCTAATTCGAATCCTACTTATTAAGATCCCATAGCACTGC